ATATAAAATATTCAAGTTATACTTTATATTTGATTGCATTATTTATTTTTAAATTTTGTGATAGATTTAAGGATGATATTTTAAGAAATTTGTTTCGATGACTTTTTCTTTTTAAATTTTTTATTCATAATTCATAATTGAGTATATTGCATTAATTGATATAAAATTTTGCTTTAAATTTTATAACATTAATTGCAATGATATTGGTAATTATATTAAGAAGTTTGTTGACTTTTCCTTTCAATATTTTAATTTAGGATTCATATTAAATATATTTGAATGTATCATTCAGTTTTAAATTTTCTACTAAATTTCAAGATGTCATAATAGTTATTTTTTTTAATAAAAAAATTGAGTTAATAAATGACTTTATGTTTTATATTTTTAGTTCAAGTTATACGGGATATATTTGATTGAATTATTTAGTTTTTAAATCTGGTGATACATTTAAGGACGACATCTTAAGATGTTTGATTTGATAACATTTTCTTTTTTAATTTTTTAATTCATAATTCATACTTAGTATATATTTGATTCGATCATAACGTTAGAATGATAAGTATTTTAAGAATTTGATGATTTTTTCTTTTAAGTTTTCAATTCAATATTCATACTTAATAATAAATATATTTGAATATATTAATTGATTTTAAATTTTCTACTAAATGTAAGGATGTTATAAGAATTAATATTTAAAAAATACGATTTTATGACTTTTTCTTTTATATTTTTACTTCATGTTACACTCAATATATTTGATTTTAAATATTGAGATAAAATTAAGGACAATATTTTTTTTTTGATGGGTTAAGGACAATATTTTAAAAAACTTGATTTGATGAAATTTTCATTTAAAGTTTTTAAGGATAGTGTGTGTGTGTGTGTGTGTGTGTGTGTGTGTGTGTGTGTGTGTGTGTGTGTGTGTGTGTGTGTGTGTGTGTGTGTGTGTGTGTGTGTGTGTGTGTGTGTGTGTGTGTGTGTGTGTGTGTGTGTGTGTGTGTGTGTGTGTGTGTGTGTGTGTGTGTGTGTGTGTGTGTGTGTGTGTGTGTGTGTGTGTGTGTG